GGGGGGGTTTGGGGGGGTCAGGACAGAGATGTTGTATTGGGGAGGGGGAATTTGGGGAGGGGTCTCACCTTTTCCCTGGTGCAGGCGATAGACCCCAGAGCCCACCGGCGCATTTCCCAGGTACTGATCTTGAGGGAATGAGAGACCGTGGCCTTAGGGATGGGGGGGAACCCCTCCCACCCCCCAAAAAAACCACCCCCACCCCCCAAAAACAACACCCCCACCCCCCAAAAACGCAGCCTCAAAAATCCCCTTTCCTTCCCCAGGGTCACATCCCGAAATATTGCCTGGGAAAATCGATGTTCAACTCCCCCTTTTAACCCCGAAGTTCTCACCTGCACATCCCCAAATCCACAGTTCCCCACCGAATTCCTCTTCCTCACCCCAAAATCCTCTCCCCCCACCCCAAAACCTTCCCAGGTTGATGTTAAAAATTAAGAACGAGGTGAAATTTCCCCTTTTCACCCTCAAAATCCTCTCCCCCCACCCCAAAACCTCCCCAGCTCGACGTTAAAAATTAACAAAAACGTGAACCCCCCCTTCTTTTCACCCCCAAAATCCCCCAGCCCCATTTCTCACCAATCCTCCCCATTTAAAGACAGGCTGGCAGGGCCCAATTCTCCTTTTTTTTCACCCCCAAACCCCCCCCTTTCCCCAGCCCAAAGCCCCCTCCCCAGCCAGGATCGTCCGTACCCATGTGGTGGGGGCCGGGGTGCCCCGGGGGGTGCGGCCCCCCCCCCATGGGGGGGTGATGGGGCTGCATCCACGGGGGGGGCCCGTTTGGGGTGTGCTGCAGGGGGTGCCCCCCGTGCCCCCCACCCATGCCAGCCATGGGGTGGGGGAAGCTGTGGGGACCCCCGGGCCCCCCCGGCCCCCCGTGCAGCCCCCCGTGGTAGGGGCGGTTCTCCGAGGGAGCCGAGCTCATCCAGGGGGGGCGGCTCTGGGTGGGGGGCAAAAAAAAATAAAAGGGGTTAGGGGGGGATGAAAGAGTTTTTGGGGGTCACAGGAGTTTGTGGGGTTAAAGGGGTTTGTGGGATCAAAGGGGTTTGGGGGGGTTAAAGTGATTTGGGGAGGCCGATGTGCAGGGAGAGGGGCTTGGGGGGGGTCACAGAAGGTTTTGGGGGGTCACTTACAGGAGGGGTCACTGCTCCCCACACCTGTGTGGCTGCTGGGCATGGGGCTGGTTTTGGGGGGGTGTTCGGGAGTAGGTGTGTGGATTTTGGGGGGTCACTCACCGGGAAGGGGGGCTGTTGTTTTTGGGATGTTCAGGGATAGGTGTGTGGATTTTGGGGGTGTTTTTGGGGGGATCACTCATGAGGGGAGGTCTGTTGTTTTTGGGGGTGTCGAGGGGCAGGTGTGTGGATCCTGGGGGCTCACACAGGTGGTTTTTTGGGGGGCTCACTCACCGGGGGGGGCTGGCCCCCAGCCTGGCTGGCTGCACGGTGGCTGCTGGACAAGGGGCTGTTGTTGTGGGCGGCGTTGGAGCTCACGGACACCGGGGCCTCGCCCAGCTCGGCCATCAGGGACAGGTACTCCTTGTCCATCCGAGCCTTGTCCTGAGCAGACTGAGGGTCCCCGGGCCTGGGGACACCGTGGGATGGTGAGAATGGAGGGGGCTGCACCCCCAAATCCCCCCCCAGCCCAATTCTAGGGGTCAGGGGCGGGCCCTGGGAAAAGCTCTGGGAGGGGGTTCAGGAGGGTTGAGAAGATTGAAGGGAATTTCATGGGGTTTTGGGAAAATCTCAGGGAGATTGGCAGGATCCCAAGGGGGGGTTTGAGGACTTGGGGGAATCCCAGGGAAGTTTGGGGAGGATTTGGAGGGGTCTGGGGAGATTTCGGGGCTGATTTAGGGAATCTCAAGGTTTGGGACGAGTCGAGGTCTCAGGGATTTAAGAAGCATTTGGAGAGAATTCTGAGGGGGATCTCAGGCAGAGGATCCCAGGAAGATCTGAGGGGTTTTTAGGGGACATTTAGGGAATGCCACGAGGATATGGGGGTTGGTTTTGGGGGGGTCACCTGGCGAACTTGCAGTCGGAGGCGATGTGCCCGGCCCCGCCGCACTTGGTGCACACCGTGGTGTTGGTGATGCTGCGAGTCTCGGTGCTCTGCCACGGCCTCAGGATCCTGGGGAGGGGGCTCAGGGTTATTTAAACACTCCAAGGGGGTCGTTTTTCAATGAATTAAGGGGGGGCGGGACCCCTCTGACCGGTTGTCATCCTCCCGCAGGGTCCCGTTGAGCCGTGCCAGCTCCCTCAGCTGCATCTTGCGCAGATCGTTCTGGTCCTCGGGGGTCTCGATGCCCTGCTTCAGGATGTTCCTGATCTGGGGGGCACAGGGGGCGTCAGACAGGGGGGCTGCACCTCCAAAGCCCCGGGAAAGCCCTTCGGGGACACCCCCAAACCTGCTCCACGGCTTTCTTGACGTTCTCCATGGTGTTGGCCGTGACGAGGGCGTGCAGGGGCTCGTCCTCGCCCGGCAGCATCTGCCCGTCCTTGCGGCCCACCTTGCCCTCCTTCACCGAGCCCTTGCCCCTGATCATGATCTTGGCGTTGCACTCCTTCTCGATGTTCTTCAGGGTGTTCCCCCTGGGAGCAGGAGGTGACACGGGGGGGGATTGGTGGGGGACACTCAGAGCTCACACAGAGCCCCCTCGTCCTCCTTCAGCCTTGCCCTGGCTTGGGATCCTCCGAGTTCTGCTTGGGGATTTTGGGGGGGGTCTCACACCCAGACCGGTGTGCTCAGGCTGGTTATGGACGTGGGTTTGTCATTAAACGCTCCTCTGTTAATTAGGGGGGATAACCCAGGCACTGAGAGGTGAGGGGACACCCACACTGGTCTGTGGGGACACCCACACTGGGCCGAGGGGACACCCACACTGGGCCGAGGGGACACCCACACTGGGCCGAGGGGACACCCACACTGAGCTGTGGGGACACCCACACTGGGCAGAGGGGACACCCACACTGGGCAGTGGGGACACCCACACTGGGCAGTGGGGACACCCACACTGGGAGCCAGCAGCACCTCGGTGTTCTCAGGAGCTCCCCCAAGCTCCGGGGGGTGAAGCTGAGGGGATCCCCCCCAAACCCCAGAGGCCCCCCACTCCCCCCAGGATGTCGGGGTGCCTACCTGGGCCCGATGAGGAGCCCCACAAAGTTGATCTCGGGGTACTCATCCTGCGGGATCATCACCTTGTCGCTCACCCGCGTTGCTGGTGGCCTGGACGAGGACAAAAACAAAAAAACCCCAAAAACCGGGAGTCAAACCCCAAAACTGGGCAGCACCAGCCCCGGATGAGGGTGTGGGGAGGGTCCCCCCTCACTTGTAGTCCGCGGGGGGCTTGAAGTCGGGGTTCAGGGCCACCATCTCGGTGATGAGGTTGTGCCTCTCCTCCTCCAGCTTCTTGCGCGTGCGGAACTCGCGCGTGTTCAGGCGCTTCCCCTCGCTGTTGTAGATGGGCTCCGGGGAGGGGGACCTGCTCCGGGGGGCGGGGGGGTCACTGCGAAGCCCCCAGACCCCTCGGAGAGAGAGGAACCCCCTCCCCAAACCTCCCAGCCCCCGGGTGTGGGGGTGGGGGGGTTTCCCTCCCCTTGCTGTCGGTGATGGGGAGGGGGATGTGGAGGGGTGGGGAGGGGGTCAGGACCCCTCTGGGCTTGGGGGTTTGAAGCCCCCTCCCCAAACCACCACAAGCCTCCCCCCCATGACCACCCTGTGCCACTGCCCCCACCCACCCCCAGGAGGGGATAATTGGGGGGGGGAGCATTAATTAGTGCCCAATCAAGGCCAGCAGAGCACAGCCCCCTCCCCCTCCCCAAACCAGCGACCCCCTCTTTGCCCGTTTCGGCCTCTGCTGGGTCAGGGTTTGGCCCCTTTGTCCCCCGGTTTTGTTGTTTCTCCCTGGCTTTGCCCCCGTTCCTGCTCCTTTTCTCCCTGCTGGTGCCCAGTTCTCCCCGTTTTTTTGTTGTTGTTGTTTTTTTGTTTGTTTGTTTGTTTGGTTTTTTGCCCAATTTCCCGGTTTCTAGGAGGAAAAGGTCCCTGTCTGGGGGGGCTTTGGCAGCCCCGGAGGGAAGAGTCAAGGTCGCTTGAGCTGAGCCGTGTCGGGGTGAGAAAATCAGATTATGATTAAAAATCAGAATTATCAGCGAGGAAGGAAAAAAAAATAATAATAATAATTAAAAAAAAAAAAAAAAAAAAAAAAAAAAAGAGTCAGAATCGCTCGGGTTTGGTTAAGTTAAATCGGCCCTTGGCTCCCCTCCCCCCCCAAAATAGCGAATTTTGGCAGCGGCTGCAAGAAGGGAAGAGATTAAGGCGGATCCTCCAAAAACAGCCGGCGCGGGCGACAGTCGAACCTGCCCCCGGTTTGGGGGGAAAAAGCGACTTTTCGGGGTTGGCAGCAGCCGGGTCCTCGGTGGAACTGCGACGTCACTGTCCCCGCTCGTGATTAATCGTTAATTCATTAATTCATTAATTAATTAATTAATTAATTTCCCCCCCCCCCAAACCAGCGCTAACGACGCCGCAGAGGGGGGAGCGGCCTCGGCCCGGGGCGCTGCAGGAGCAAGGCTGGGTTAGCTCGGGGGGCCTGCGCCCCCCCCAAACCTGGGAGACCCCCAAAACCTGGGGCTGGGTGTGTGGGGTGACCCCCACCCCCAAAACCTGGGGAAGGGGGGGGTGATGGGGGGGTGGGGGGAGCTGGAGGGTGTCCCCCGGCCCGGGACTCGGAAGGTGAGGGGTCCCTGAGGACACAGGGACCCCCCCCAACCCCGGAGTTGGGGACCCCCACAGAGCTGGGGACCCCCCCCCCATCAGAGCAGGGGGTCCCCCAGAAAAAACGGGGCCAAAAGAGGCGGAAAAGGTGAAGAGAAGGAGGGGGGGAGGGGGGGAATTTGGCCCTTCGCAGGTAATGGCAGCTCTGCCCCCCCCCCCAGAGCCAAATTGGGGTGAAAAAGGGGGGGAAAGGAGAGGGGAAAAGGGGGTGCAGAGGGGGCTGGGGCCTCCTGAAACCCCCAGAGCTCATTAAGCCACCACCAGCACGGTAATTAATCCGCAGCTAACGAGGCTCACAAAGGTGCAGAGAG